TCCCAGTCTAAAATAGATTGAGACCATACACCGTAGACTGTTAATTATGCGTGGTAATTAAAGAATAATTGTTACCTTTTGTTCTTTATGGCATATTTCTCGATTAAAATATAATTATTATAACTTTACTATAATACTAAAAGGCTACACCGCAATGATCATGATGCTGAGTATAAATTGTTTTTATATGCGCAGCGTTCGCGTAGTCGTTGCATGCCTAACACGTGTGTCTTTTTCCCCGCGCTTCAACGAGGCAAAATTTGAACATGTATATAAGGTTGTACTTTTTGTGATTTTTATTTGTTTGGGTCGTCAGACCAAACAAATAATGGTAGCGAAATTTCAGACTCTAATGCTGTTAATTGCAAATGCCGAAAGTAGTCCGCTTTTTTGAAGCGGTTACTTCCCTTTACATGTACACTAACGCCGAAAAATTCAGGGGAGATCACTGCGTAAAGATGGTCAAATGACAGGCGCATTAATTTTCAAGCAAAATAATTCCCGAATGGTCGAAGATTTCTAATATTGTTTTATTCTTTATAGATATACATGCTTATAGTAAGCTCCATGATAATTTACATCTGTGTTAAACAACAGTTAGCGTCATTACAAACCCTAATTTAGAATAATATGGTTTTCTTCAGGCCATTAACATATCCGAGATGTTTAAGCGCTCGCTTAGGAAGCGAGAAGTCTGGAGTTCAAGTCCCAGATAAGGCAACCCATTTTTTTCCAAATTGTTTAAATCAGATAAACATTGAATTGACTATCAGTGTTGCAATTAGTCTTATAGCCAATTTACTACAATTAAAACGCTGAAAAGCATTGGTGGCACTATACAAAAACAAATTGGTTTATAATCTCACAACCTGCACCTTTCTTACATTCTGAGACCCAAACAAATTAAGCGCCTTCTGTGCTTTGATTTTATTTCTTAGCCTATTCATATAATAAAACACTTATTGACTAGTGAGCCATTGAATATGTGTGATATTTACCGGCAGAAAGTCAAATTGACCTCGGCTGTCGCCTCGGTCAATATGTCATCTGCCGGTGAATATCACATCATTGGCGACGCCGGTGAGCGGCGTCGTCTCTTATGAAATGCTTTTTATTTTGGCCAATGGTAGGAGCTGTTATTATTAACAGTTAATGTCATGTTGTGATAAATAGTTTTATTTTTTATTCGTAAAAATCAAGTAAACAAATATGTTGTTATATTTGTATTTAATAACTTTATGTAAAAAGCATGTGTATTGTGATATAATTTTCACAAAATTGCAGACTCAGTTTAGCAGCTTGTCCCTGAGCTTAATTGGTAATACTAAAACCCGGGTTTCTAATATCGTTGTGGTCTACATTTATGCCGTTTTCTTTTTCATTCATTTATATATTTTCAAAAATTTCCTACAAGAAGAGCGTTCACATGCAAATGAGTATTAGGATTGGTAATGGAACTGTTGTAAACGTGTATCCTATTGATTTTATCCATATTACGTTTATCTATTGCACAGAATGACTGTTTTTACAAAGTGTACTAGTATTCGGATATTGAAAGCCATCCGATTTTCTGCAATTAATGCTGTCACATGGCCATATAACTATTAATGAATACTTTACCATACTTTGCATGGCTTAATAAAACTGAGCCTGCAGCATTTCATAATTTTGCTGTGTAGGGTGTTCTTTTCTCTATTTTAAGAGGAAGTAACTCATGTTTACTAAATTATATGTTCTTTTCTGTCTATCTTAGGTATTACTTACTATCTTTGTTGTATAAAATTTACCGGTTGTAAGGTCATCAAAAGCATAGAGGCCATGAGGAGTGAATATTGATATATTTATACTGGCTTTATATACCTTAGACTGGATTTTTTTTAATTTGTTCAGTTAGTACATACCTTCAGGTATTCTGCTACAGGAATCATCTAATCACTATGTGAAACTAATTATTATTTTCTATGTGTTTGTATATTAATTGTTAATAAAATAAACTTTGGTAAAAATGAAAGGTAGAAAATAAAAGCTATGCATATAGGTGCTCATGTCCATATATTGAAACATCCTGAAGTTATCAATTTTAAACACTAGATATATATGCAGTTTGTTATATAGTAAGGTCTAATGGAAGGTTAAAAGAGTGACAGTATTTGTTACTGTAAGAGATATGCATTTAATGTTTAGACACTCACACAGCTCAATCTTTATTATATGATATAGACTATTTGAGATTTTTTTTTACTTTTATACTATACATTATAGTTTTCTTTCTACACGATTATGAATTCCATCCAAGTACCAATGTTAATAGGATGTTATATTTATTTTAAATGGAAACTGGGAATCATTAATGTTATGTGCATTCATGTATATCATTGTATATGGATATAAAGTGACTTAAAATATTTGTATTTAAAAGATTTCAGGATGGATGAACTTGCATTTAAATTTAAAAATGTAATCGGTATTGATTGTCACCCGTTAAAAGGGGTTTTTCCAGTTGCTGGCTAAATAGTACTATTTAAAATTTAAAACATTATAGTTTCTTTTTACTGATTTGAATTCCCATCCATTATTAATGTTTTGGGTTTCATATTTTTTTAATAGAAAATGGGAATTTTTTAAATGGGTTATTTTTATAATTATACTTAGTATATGATATGATGAACTTAAAATATTTGTTTAAAGGTTTCAGTTAATATATTTTAAAGGAACTTTTTTTAAAGTTAAAAGATAAAAAATGTTTATATTAGTTTATCTGGTAATAATAATCATAATAGAGTAAAAAAATTTTAAAGGGTTTAGCCCGGATGTTGGGTTTATTTCTGAACGTGAGATTTGGGGAGGGTTTCTAATGACCCATCCAGAAATTAGGGTTTAAGGGTTAAATTTTTGTCCCTTACTAGTGATGGCAGGGGGCCCTGGGGGCAATTCCCCCGGACGGTTGCTGGGAATATAAATATAAAAATTCCATTTACCCCTGTGCTTTTGTAGGTTTTTAGTAAAAGGTTTTAAGGGAAAAAAAATTCCCTTTAAAATAGGATCAAGCAATATAATTTAAAAAAGTCTCAAAATTTTTACTCTTTAAATTTGTTTTTTAAAAATTCATAATTTTGAAAGGAAGTTTCTGTTTGAAAATTTTAAAAATTTGTAAAAAAGGTGGAACGTCCTTTTAAAATAAAGGGCCCCAGAGTCAACCCCACTACAGAACCCCTTTTTTTTAGAGTAAAATTGTTAACTTTCCCTTGAATAAAATTTTGTTGCACTAAAATTTTATAGTGGGTGATTTGTGCCACAAGAAAACCAACAAATTACAAAAAGTAACCGGGCGCCAGATGAAAACATGAAAACACAATCAACCACAAAGTGGTTCGTTTGTTGTATTTTCATGTTTTCGCCCGGTGCCCCCTGATGTAAAATACAAATCAGCATCCATAAAATTTCTTATCAAAGAAAAATGTTAGTTTTTTACCTGTACAAAAATTATATATTGTACATGTATAAGTACAGTTATGTTCACTTTCAAATTGACCTGTTATAAATAATGGCACAACCAATACCTGTCTAAGTCCTTTTTTAGTAATATATAAAATCTTGTTTTTTACTAAGACTATGCGTATGTAAGTTTTTTTTCTTATTTGTTGAATTAAGAATTAATCTACTTGTTAATTAAAAAATATAAACGTATCTGTCACGCTTTAGAACTGTTCATTATTTAGGGGAGAAAATGGGTAAGAGGCCAGATAGCTCAATCACTACAGCTGCCGTACATTATTCTGTGGGTCACAGATTCGAGTTCTGATCAAGTTGAAGGTTTTTGATCACACTATATTGCACATGAAGAAGTTCTTCTGCTTCTTCTTCATGAAACTTCAAGCATCTGCCATAGGTAATGACATTCTTACATGGTTCGAGTCTTATCTCTGATGGACAGCAGCTGGTGGATGTGGCTGGTACTCATTCTACTTCTACTCCGAGTACCTATGGTGTCCCCCTGAGGTTCATTTTAGGTCCTCTTTTGTGTCTAGTATATGTCAATGACATGTCTGCAACCCCAACCAATAAGCTTTTATTATATGCTGATGACTCAGGTATCCTTGTATCTGGTAAAATTAATTTGAATAAATTCTCTTTTATGGCATGGGTCTTATTAGTTATTGGTTAATTGACTATAAATTGTCTTTGCATCTTGGCAAGACAGAGTCTATTCTTTTTGGTTTAGGTTTTAACTTAAACTGGGCCTAGCCTCAATGTCACATGTAATGATACTGCTATAAAGTACACATTTTTTTGTTCAGTATTTAGGTGCAAAACTTGATCCTATTTTTTTAAGCGTCGCCTTTGATGCTTTGCATCAATGCTTTTCTTGTATTCAATGGCTCACTAGTCAATAATTGTATAATATAATAATCGTCTAAGTGATTATGATCATTCTAATCAGCTTATGAAAATAAATTCATGCTTGAGCGATCATCTCACAAGTATAAATATAGTGATTAGAGGAAAATTATCAGTCTGCAGTGGAATTCACCGGGACCATGTTATTTTTATGTACAGGTTATTCTATGCCTCGCTTCATACATAGAGATATATCTAATAGAAGCCTAGCTTCATAGATATAAAAGAATAATTAGCCAAAGTAAATATTTCCAATTGAAGCCTGGCTTCATGGATATAGTGTCGTTACTTAATATTTGTGAAATAGCATTTGACTCTGGGTACTTAAAGGCCTCCAAATTTTCTGATAGATATTTTTATATATTCTAGCTGGAACTTTGCTATAATTCCCTACCAGCAGCTTATCTTATATATTTGTTGTACATTCGCTCGGTACACGTTACAATATTTAAGTGTATATGAAAAAAGATTGTGGCATTGCCTGGCAGGACATGTTTTGTTGGGATAGAGTAAGTAATGTACCATTGAATCAATAGTTGCAGGGCTATTTAAATCTGTGCAAAATAAAAAAGTGTCATGACATGTTATACAAACTTTTTAAGGACTTATCACGAAAGACGACTGTAAAAGACATAAATGGTGTGTCAATGCCTGCCATGACGATCTTTGCCATGTCAATTCGCTTCCTTAGAAACCACCTGTTGAAACGCCTGGAAAAAGAAGAGCCATGGGTCAAAGAGAGTGATATAAAGTATATATTGACAGTGCCTGCTATATGGAAAGAAAACGCCAAACAATTCATGCGTGAAGCAGCGGTTGAGGTAATTGATTTGCAATTTTAAAATAAAGTGTGTTTTTTTTGTCATTCTAAAGAAATTGCACGGCCTATTGGTTTTCTCTCGTCAAACGTTTTGTAAGGGTAAAACAACTGTATCAAACCTGGAAAGAATATCAATGATGACAAAAGTTATTTAAAATAATATTTCTAGTCATATATTCTTTTCACTTACATTTTCTGGTACTTATAATATTAATTTCCTGTTATACTTGAACGTTAGGCTGGCATAAAAAGTTCCAATCTGAAACTAGCATTAGAGCCTGAGGCCGCGTCTATTTGGTGTCAAATTGCAACAGATGAGGCAAGGACTATGTTATCTAAAGCAGGGACACAGTATATGGTGATTGACCTTGGAGGTATGATACATTGAGACAAACTTTACAATTTTGGAAATATTTTAAAATTCAGATTTATATGTTTTACTTTAAAAATGGATATTTCAGGTTCTATACAATTTACATTTAATAGTGGCGATTTGTTGTTATGATGTGGAAATGTTTCACGTGGCGTCATATACGTAATATAAACGTAACGTTAACGCATGTTGTTGTTTTTTTTGTTTTGGCGAATGTTATAAATAGAAAATTATACTCGTATGGTACGTTACTGTTATTAATGAGTTAGAGGCTCCCACAATATAACCCCATCCTGCTTTTTCAATAAATTCAGTACTAAACCCTCGGTCACTCAGTGTCCTCAATTCAATTTTGTTTAATTCCGCTATTTTTTTTTCTTGGACACATGAATTCTTTTACTCGCAGACCAATCGCCGCTTTACATGGAATGACACCAACATGTCCCATTGTAGGTTTCCTGATAACCGCTGTATGAACACATATGCAGATATTTCTATATTAAAAAATTAACCATTTTCATTTTCAAATGTTGACTACTGCTTGGGTTTTAGCAAGGGGCATGGGGCGGTAGCTTGCAATTATCACTACCGTCCATGAACAGGTTCAATCAAACCGTTTGGGACGTTCTTTAGGGATTCCGTTTTTCTTTATTTTAGGTGGCACTGGAGATATATCTGTACATGAAAAGCAAATTGATGGTTCATTAAAAGAGATACACAAGCCTAGTGGAGGATCGTTTGGTGGAACTCAAGTTGACGACAACTTCTTGCAATGGCTTACTAAATTATTTGGCAAGTCTACCATGGAAAAATTCAAAGAAGAGGAAATGGAGGCTTACTTCAATTTACTTCGAAATTTCGAGTTAAAGAAAAGACAAATGCGACCAGACGTCAGTGGTAAAATAACGTTTAATGCAGGTCTATATAGTCTTTTAGAATTTTATAAACGGAACAGTGACATGTCAATCGAGGAAAAGATTGCTACTCTCGGACTTAAACATAAACTGAAACTTTATCCTGACAAGCTTAGAGTAGACGCTTCTATAATAAGAGAATGGTTTGAATCGCCAATACGAAAGATGATGTCACATGTAAAAGACATTCTTGCTGAGCAAAAGATGAAAAATGTTAAAACTATTCTATTAGTCGGAGGGTTTGGTGAAAGTGACATAGTTTATGAAGCGATGAAAACAAACTTTGAAAACACCCACACAGTCATAAGGCCGCATGAAGCAAGTTTAGCTGTCCTAAAAGGAGCAGTAAGATTTGGTCATATTCCAGATATAATTAAGTACAGAATCATGACCGCTACATATGGCATAAGTGTGATGAATTGTTTTGATAAGGGTAAACATCCTGTTTCAAAAAAAATAATGCTGAATAACAAAGCAAAGGTTGACAATATATTTCACATTTTGTTCGCAAAGACGAAACTATTAAATTAGGCAAAGAAATTCGCGACGACTTTACTCCAAATGATCTTCAAAAATCAAGTGTATCTATATATAAATCAACAAAACGTGATCCGGAATATGTAACAGATGAAGGGTGTACAAAACTTGGTGCACTAACTATCGATCATCCAGAGGGAAAAACGCTCGAAGATAAGAAATTAGACATCACATTTGTGTTCGGTGACACCGAGCTATTTGTCAAAGTAAAGATTAAAAAGACAGGGCGAGAATTTTCTAAGTATGTTGATTGTTTAGAACAGTGACATATCTAACGTATGTAAACGTGTGTCCTTACATGAACTATTCTTTTTATAACTTTATTATATTTCACACTGTAATATATGATTTAAGGAATCGATTTTACTAACTTTTTTATTGACAAAGTAGATATATTTACCGTCTATAAGGGCTTCGGAAATAAAATGATTTCTCCTTCTTTAGAAAGGGGAAACATTAGTTTTAAAACGTTTAAATATTGATTTTAGAGCATGCTAGATTTTTTCACCTGAAAATGAAGTGTTGAAAGTTAAAAGAAAAATATAAACAAATAGTATTTTGACGTCCATACAAAATTCTAAATCTCTATAGCTCTAGTAATTGGCAAAAGGCAACAGAAGCAAAATACGGTTTAGGAAATTGCCCCTGAGTAACTTTTTAGAAACTATAACAGGACACAATGATATATGCATACGTATATCTTGTTATACATTGGATGCGAGTGACATTATGCCCATTCATGGTTCTATAGTCAGTTAACAGGTGAAAGTAAAATAAGTTCACATTTTGCCATAATTTCTTTCAATTTTATAACTTACTTTGCGCGACCGATAAAAAAACCCACGTGGCCCAAGAAAATTTCTATTATATCTACTGGAATTTACCTGTAACATTTAAGTAACAACACGAGTAGGGCAGCCTTTTTATATAATATTTTAAGCAGATTTATATTTTGTCTTAAACATTTTCCAATTATATTCAACTGTTTGTCAATCACAGTTCAAATAGTCAATCTTTTGAAATGAGTAGTCAATTCAGCACAAAGTATAAAAATATATATTCAGATTCATTTGACTTCAATTTTGTTAATCACAATATACATGTATTATGATATTTTTTCATATAAAATAGTATCGCATTGTATCGCATTTTTATATATCGTTGAATTGTTTTGTTATTATAATATTTTTGTTGTTTATATATAGTGAAACCCTATACTACGACCGCCAATTGATCTTAGTCAAAATGGTCTTAGTTGTGTTGTTTTCAATAAATTATTTAAACCTAAATGGCGATCGTAAAAAGGTGTGTAAATTTGATTGCCAATGGTCTTTTTACCGGAGTAAAATGGAAATTGGGACCTACACCACTGAAATAAAAAAGAATGGAAATTCGGTTCAATGTCTGAGGAAGCGTGTCCACAGCTTTGCACTTTTTGTTAATAAATATGTATCATTATTGATGGTCTATTAAGACTATCAATGGGTCTAAATCAAAATGGTCATAGTGTGTTGCTTTCAATCAATTATTTAAATCAAAATTGTGGTCGAAAATGGGTGTGTTGATTTGAGTGTCAGTGGTCTTTCTTACTGAAGTAAAATAGGAAATGGGACTGAAACGTCTGAAATAATGAAATAGAATTTTGGTTCTTTTAATTTTGGTATGGCCTTAGGAAGAGTTTCTTTGTATAGATTTATATTAAACTGTTTTGTTTTGTTTTTGTTTGTGATTCAGGACGTATTTTAACATGAGGTTTATGAAATGATTCGTTTTTGTCATTCAAGGCGTAATTGAACACGAGACTTAAAAACTGCATTAAGTTTGTTATTTTTGACGAATTTCAACAAGATTTATAAACTAAATACTTTTTGTAATTAAGGACGTATTTCGACTTTTTTAAAACGGAATTGTTTATGTCGTTCGGGTCGTATTAAAAAAAAACAGATAGTTATTTGGGTTTTTTTTTTTGTTTTTTTTTTTTTGTCATCTTGGACGTTTTTGTTACACGAGGTTTTAAAGCTGCACTGTTTTTGTTATTTATAACGTATCTTGGCATTAAAGATCCTGTAACACAATTTTTTTATGGTTTTATATCACAAATATGATGCTTAAAGGGACTCCACTGAGGGTTTTTGACATGATGGGAATGAATTTTTTTTTCCAGATAAATGTACCATTTGATGTAGGTTTAGACCATTAATCTTAATGCAAATTTTCAGATCATTTGAGCATTTCGTTTTTCCAGAATAATTGTTCAAATTGTAAAAAAATGACACAAAATGAAAAGCGTTTAAACGCTTTTCACTAAACTCTGGTTAAGAAAGGCATAAAAATATGATTTTCAATTTGTTTCAAAGTATATTTCTTAACTATCTTCGCATATATTTCTGTTCAAAATGCCCCAGCTCATTCATGTAAGAAATTCAAATGTTATGTTTTTAAGCTTTTAAACCTCAGTGGAGTCCCTTTAAACTAAGATTTATCAATTTTGTAGGTTCCAAAAAGCATTATTTATAAAGATATAACCGAATTTAAAATTTCATGTAGATAAAGGGAGGTAATAAAAATTTTATTTTCTATAAAGTCGAAGTCAAATTTTTTAATTAGAACTGAATACATATGTATTAATGATTACATATAATATGTACAACTATTTTCATTACATATTTTACATATTCTTCTATGTTTATAAATTGTTTTATAAGCATAATTATATACATATACAGATTTATAAACTAAAATCTAAAAAAGTGTCATTTAGAACGTACGTATTTCAATATAAGATTAGAAAGTTTTTTTTTTTTGTTTTTTTTTTTTTTTTGTTTCTTTAGCTAGTTAGGACGTGTTTCATTTGACATTAATAAACTTATTTTTGTTGTTGTTGTTGTTGTTGTTCTTTTTCTTCTTTTTCTTCTTATAAACTTACGTATTTGTGTCATTGAGGACGTATCGTAACAATAAATTTATAAACTGCACATCTATTGTAGAGCTGTTTTATTTAAAGGAAAAAGACGTTGATTGCGCATTGGTTTCCTTAATGCACAATTGCAATTCCGCCCCTACCCTGGGAATAGCTGCTACTTAGAATTTAGGATTATCAAACCCCCGGTAAAGGTCATGACTTTTTTAACTTTTTGAATATCAGATGACGTGGTCATGACTATTATGATATATTCTAATATGTGAGCAAAGAAACGATTCCATGGTTAGAAACACACAGAAAAGTTGTAATTGAGTTTGTGATTTTAAAGCGACCCAATATTTGTATATATAATAGGAAGACGATACAGATAAAGGCCAACAGTATATTTAAGTTTGTTACCCAAACATATGTGTTCATAAAGTGGGAGTTCAACAAACAAATACCGGTCTATCAATATCAAGCTTTTGACCCAAACGGAGCGTGTACTTTCCAATATGATAGCAGTTCGATATATATTGATAAAATAACATCGACGACTTTCAATTAGTATAGTTTAAACAAATTTATTTTAGTTCGTTTGTGTTGGAAGCTAAACCCTTATTTAAACACTCTCGAATCCCTTCCTATAACAAACCAGTACTGAGCAAAAAATGTAAAGTTTCTTACTCAAAGAAACAACGGCTTGCCTCTGTCAGGGTTTGAACCCACGCGGTCAGCAAGACTGACGCGTTAACCAAACGGCCACGCCAACACTCAGAACTTGCAATTGTGTTTGGGTCTGTGACCAAAAACAGACCAAACTATGTTTCTAAACAGGTATATAGGCACTCGATTTATGTTATTTCAACTTGTTCAGTTGTAATTGAATACAATGTCCCGTAAACCGTTATTACATTTTTCCCGCGCTTCAATTTTCGACATTATCAGAATCTAATGGTCATAGCTAATTAAAATTGTGTCTTATTTGTCAATATTTTGTTCATGCTCAGGGAAATATTGTTTTTAAGACGTGTTACGCCTTATATGTAATATATGTGTATCTAATATTTCACACGAAATCAAAATCAGTGTGTATTATATTTATAAACAAGAAGCAATTACTAATCTTCGTTTAACATTTCAATATATTCTGTGTCATAAATTATTCTAAGCCTGGTTCGTGATTTTTTCTTAAGAAGAAATACCTTTATTTCATTTGTCATGAACATGTTGCCAAAAATGCTTGGTTTTCGTTGTCATAACATTGGTATAAAAAGTCAAAAATGAAGATTCGATTGAATCGATCAACTTGATGTAAAGAAGTACCAACATATACATGTGCGATGTATATTTCTTATCCAATGTGCTTAATTTAAAAGGAGATTTAATGAAATGCACGCGTAATTATCATGCTTACGAATCAAAATTTATTCAACCATTTTCATTTTAGCTATTTTAATTGCTCTCGAGGACAATCTTTTTCGAGAGTTAGTTTTACTTTTGTCTTAAAATGGTTGAGATTGCTTCAAAAGGACAATTTTAAGTATTCAATGAAATATTGTTGGGTTCACTTTGAAAAATAGTTATATGTTTGAAATGCTGTTTCTGACATAAGATACGATAATTATACAACCAATCACTGAAAGCTCAATTCTGTATTTGAAGTATTGTTCCAAATAATTACAGATTTGATAGATCCCTATCTACTCTGATGACCCTTTGTTAATAACAATAGCTTTAACAACAAACAATGACGTGTGCAATTTTGTTAAGAAATATGTTGTGGTGACATTCTTATTGTAAAAGGAAAGCTAAGATATATGGTCAATAACTGATTTTTCGAAAATTCTAACAAGACATCAGAAATATCAAGCTTTTGAAAACGAAAATAGTGGCAGTTTTTTTTTGTTTTTGTTTTTGTTTTTGCTTTATGGGCCTTGACACATGATTCCTGCAAAACCTGAAAATGTGCTGGTAATTATTAGAAAGCGTATACAATATATGTGTGATCAGCATCGGAAATAAGTTTGAAACAATCAATTTAGTTATAACATTAACGACGTACTTTAACATTGCCCGTGTCTTCGCAAAGCAGGTTAACGATCGAGTAAGTTATGAACGTCTACGTCGCTGAGCTCTTTTGTACACGTTTTGTATCCAGAGCTTGATGATAATAACAGGCTGTTGTGATAACAACAGGAATTATTCGAGTTTATTATTTTACATCTAACCTTATAGGAGTGATAGCCAATAAATTTCGAGACTATTGGAGACGATTCCTTATCTTTCAATTATCTCATTACATGTATATACAACATATGAATGTTTACCAAAACAATTGACTACTTTAAGTAACGCATGTGAAAAATGAAATACCTTAATGATGATTGGCATGCAAACATAATACATTTTGTGTACACAGGCAACATGTATATTGCAACAATTTCATGGGAACTTAATTGTTTTTCGTTTACTGCACCATTTCTTCTGGAGATTCAGCTAGTATGTTTAAAGGTTAAATAAGTCATAATTATAATGTTATTGTTAACAAACAGAGGAACAATAAAGAATCATATAGTTGTATTTTAGTGCAAATAACTACCTTTAAAGAAAAAGAAATCTATCAAATAGTGTTTAGTAAGTAAAATTTTCTATCTTCTTTGATGATTTGGGCTTTCTGCAGAAGAAAAACTAAAGTAGGTGTATATTGGTAATGTTCTCTTCGAACAATGTCAATCATAAACAGAATGGAAATCAGCGAGAATAGAAGACAAAGGTAGAGATACTTAGGACATTTTTGGCTATTCCCAACACTTCGGGCCTGTCATAATAATCAGAGCCTTTCATTATCATCAAAACAAATGAAAGCTGCAACACGTTTGGTCGTAAATATTCTTCGTTTTATTTTTTGTTACATTTATGTGTATTTTACTATGGAGAATCAGCGGAGAGACAACCTTCTTTTTACGACATTATTTTCGAATTTCTATTCATACAATTATGTTACTGCAATGCAGCAATTGAGAATCTCCGAGCAAACAATGCGCTCATTACAGATACCTTACTAAGACATTCATACGCACAGGTCATGTTCCATTCATGTTAAGTACTATTGTACATTATTCCGTTATGTTTTGTAAATAGTGTCAGGAGAAATGACTGCCTTGATGTTATTCAATCTGAGAAAAGATTTAGCAATAAATACTAGAATCAATTTCCAAGATATGGGGGCTGGGCAGCACCGCCTGATTTAAGATTGAAATATTCTCTGTTGGAAAACTAGCATGTAATTGTTAAGTTAACACTATTTTTTTAGGTATTTTTATCTTTTTCTATCTCAAATCAATATATACATTTAAACAACAAACTCTGACTATTATTTACACCCAAAACAAAGAACTCTGATCATTATTTACACCCAAAACAAACACACATCATTTATCAGCCACTTATACGAAATATCTTTTCACGTATACGTCTTTTATACGAAACAATACTAGACACCTGGCGAGCCCAAGCTCTAAACAACTTATGATCAAACAAAACAATAAAATCACCACAAAATGAAGAACACAGAAATGACTATTTTTTACAACTCTAAGATATACTATAAACCACAAACATTCATCCAACAATATTAACTTCACAAAATTTAATCAGCATCAGAAAAGCAAACTAAAGCATCCAATATTAACATACATCCTCAAAACAAAGCATCAACTAATATAATCTTAACCAGACAAAATCAACCAATTTCAACCAAATATTTATTACCAAACAGATATAACTTAACAACCAAAACAACTAATTACAACCAATAAACCCTGATCAATTAAGATCACCACTATAACATTCAACCAACTTCAACAAATTAACAAAACTCCCTTCAAAACAACAAATTCTCTTCTCAACAAAAAAATAACCGCTACACACTATCAGTGTGTCTCTCCAAATCTCTCTGAATTTGTTGTTGTACCGATTTGACATTTAACATGTTTAATATACGCACAGCAAAAGGTTTACATTGAAATTTGATACATGTAGTATCGCTGTAGGAAAACATTAACTCTTTGTACAAAAAATATCTGCAGTGAAACTGTATGATTATTTTGACAAATAGTGTCTTATCGTCTGCACTGTCCATGAGAGAGGGTCCAGATAGTAAATTAAATAAAAAAAAATGCTTTTACTGATGCCTACTTTACTGGTAAGGAAAGTAATTCCAATACAAACAAGATTTACAAGACTTGTAAATGTAATGTGACATAAAAGTAGTGCAACAGTGTTCTGTTTGTGCCACTTCTGTAGTCAGTAATAGATCTATTAGATGATAAAAAATATCAAGGCATGTACATTTTCCTATCCACCTATAATGCTACCCATTTTCTACAAAAAGCAACAACTAATCATGGTAAGAAATATAAAAAGCCATATGTAAATAAGCAAACAAAAAACACGTTCATCAACTTTATTTTTCAAAATGTCTGTTACATGTTTCGCGGCAAATGGTATTGTAATATATAAAGAACATAGGCGCTTAAATAGATCTAACTAGATATAGATCTAACATCAAAGGGCGTCCAAGCAATAAAAGCACAATTGACGATGAACTAGTAGACATCTGATTAGCAGATATTCTTATAATTTTTCAATGGTTAATTGGATTTTACCAGAATTGTATGTTATAGATAAATGGGCGACAAAAGACACTGTTCATCATGAACTTTGGTAGGCTTGCTAGAGATTAAAATATTAAATGCATTTTCTTTGGAACATACAAAACAGTAGTAAAAATAAACAAAGACTTTTTCATTATTAATATAATCGTAATAAATATACAAACAGTATATACAAGTAATAACAATTAAAAGAAAATGGTTTCTATTAATACCTTGGTCTTAAGATACAGTAGT